TCAAACAGGAAGAAGAGGTACAGGCCTCCGAGCACAGCCAGCAGCCGCCAGGTTGACTGTAGGCCGAGGCCCGTCTCCTCCTCGTGCGAGTGATGCTCCCCGCTGTGGGTGTGCAGCCCCAGCACCTACGGATCAGGGGCGCGCTGGGGCCACAGCAGGGAAGAGGGGACGGGCAGCGAGGGAAAGGGAGGAAGTGGTAGATGAGAACAGACCTTGGGGATCAGGTGCAGAAGGGCGTCCCCAGTGAGGGCCCCCACGGCCAGGCCCAGGAAGGCTTGCATGATGTAGTGGGTGGCTGTGCTGCAGCCCGAGCAGGTCAACAGCAGGAGGCCGAACACGGCGCACAGACAGATGAGCAGCGTGGCAAGGGAGCCGTACAGATACCCTGGAGGCGAGGCCGCACTCAACTCTGGCTTCCCAGGATGTGCCCAAGCCAGGTGCAGGAGCTAGAGCCCGCCTGGCTTGAACCGGCCCTCGGTCTTCAAAACCCACTGCTCTCCGCCACCAGCCCCTCCCTCCTACCCCGGTGGGCCTCAGTTTCCACAAGGCCAGAATTCTGGGGGCACAGCTGCAGAGTGGGAACTCACTCTCGGCCTGGCTGAGCTGGTCCTTGGCGGGGGACCGAGGCTGGGGGTCGCAGGCCCCGCTCAGCTGCTGCTGAAGCAGGGCAGGGCTCATCTGAGCCCAGGCCTGAGGGGTCACCCCGGCCTGCTCAGACCACCCATACACGGCCATCAGGTCGCTGGCTCTCAGGCACACCTGGGAGGTCGGGACAGGGGTCAGGGGCCACCATGCAGATCCACAGGACCTGACCCCACCTCCGCTCCCCAGGACCCCACAGCAGCTCACCTTATCCCACTCGCTGGAGCTGCTGCCGGGGGCCTCACGAGACCCCTCATTGGTGCCCCTGCCCAGATCGTGGTGGTCACTATGGTCATGGTCATCGTGGTCGCCAAGGTCCTCTCTGCCCACCCCTAGGCGCTGCATCAGAACCTGGAGCTCTGCGGGAAGGGGAGGGAGCTGTTGTAGGCTCCAGACCCTCCTGCGGGGTGTGGGGGGCGGGTGGAGGGAGCTCTCTCCCTGGCAGGTCTCACCGGCTAGGGAGATGTTGGGAGTCTGGCCGCCATGCTGCCGGAACACGAAGTCCACAAAGTACTGAGGGCTCGGGAGGCTGCGAGGGCTGGGCAGGGGCTGGAAACAAGACCCGCTCCTGACGTGGTCTAGCAGGGCGGCCAGGGCCGGGCCAGGGCTGCCAGGAGCTCCGGCTTCTTCCACCTCCTCCAGCAGCTGAGGGACACCTACGCAGGTCTGGAGAGGGGACGGCCTCTCAGCCCCACCTCAGCTCCAAGGTCCCCACCCAGATTCACGCAGCCTGGCAAGCCTTGTTCTCTGGGCCTGGGCCTACCACTCTCATGAGAACACTTGCTGGGTTTCACAGAACCCTAGCTCGTCTACAGCGTGGGCTGGCCTCTTATCAAGGCCTGCCCCAGACACCCCGACCTCACCCCGACTCTTCCTTCCTTTGGGCCTCAGAGCCCTCCTGACCCCCTCTCCCACTCAGAAGGGAATATCCAGCTGTGGTTCCAGCAGTGTCTGCAGATGTGCTGGGCACGTCACCCCTGCAGTCCCTGGGTGAGATCCCTCAGGCTCCCATTGCCCTCACCTCCTCCCCAGGGGACTGGATGGAAGTCTGGGTCTCCAACTTCTGCAGCAGCTGATTCAGGCCTAGGGTCATGGCGTCAGGACTCCCGAGTTGTCTCAGGAAATGGTCAACCTGGGAGGCCAGGCGGCCAGCCCGGATGTCCACACATGTGCCCTCAGGGTTGCTAAGGTAGAGGGCCACGGCAGCACTGAGGTGGCCAATGTATTTGGACTCCAGAACTAGCCCTGGCTTGTCAGGCCTGCCCAGGGCCAAGGCGTCCTCCACGGACAGGCACTGTGGGCAGACAGGGGAGAAGGGCTAGGATGGGTACTCCACAGAAGGAACAGACTTGGCGAGGACGAACCCCATCATCACATCATGCCCGAACCTCCCCGTCCTTAAATCCACTAGTCCAACTAGGAGCCCACACACAGGGGACCCATCCTGGGCAGCTTCCAACAGTCAGGAGCAGTGGAGCTATCTGTGGCAGGCAGGGCAGCTGCGTCCATCCCAGCGCTGGGTAGGGAAGGCAGGCTCTGGTCTCCCAGCAGCTCATCCACCAGCCTCAGCCCGCCTCCTGGAGTTTGCCCAGGTGCCTTTCCGGCAGGCTGCAGGGTGGAGCGGGCAGGAAGGGCTGGGGGACTCCTCGGGTGGGGCTGTTACCTTTCCACACGGCACGTCGGTGCAGTGCACACGGTCCGCCAGCATATTTAACAGGCTGCCCAGTGCTTCTCGATCCAGAGCACCCTGGCCTGAGGTGAGCAGGTGAAGCAGACTGGTAGGCTGAGCCACAGCGGCGGTTACCAGCAGCACTGACAGCAGGAGCCCTGGGGTGAGCCGACCCGGGAACACCGCCATGCCTCCAGCCTAGGTGGAGACTTGGTGAGTCTGCGGCCTAGGTCCAGACTGGGGCTGGGTTTGACCTGCCAGGCCCCAGCACAGGGACCTCTCCCAGGTATTTCCTGCAGGGCCCTGTGATTGGCTGCTGGCTGTGCCGGGTTAACCATTCCAGTGGCAGATCCTCCCTAGCAGCTGGGGGCCAGGGCTGCGGCCTGGAGGCAGGGCTGGGCCCCTCACCCTGGCTGGGTGGGTGGGTGGCCTGTCGGGCCTGGATCTCAGGAGGCTGGCCCTCAGGGGGGGCCAGGACAGAGCCGCAGGGATGGCACCACCTCAAAGCTGGGCCCCAGTCCTTTCTTCTCTCCCTTCTTCTTTTTTGGTGCTGATCTTGGGACTTGAACTCAGGGCCTGGGCACTGTCCCTGAGCTCTTTTTGTCCAAGGCTAGCTCTCTATCACTTGTGCCACCACTCCACTTGCGGCTTTTGAAGACTTTCCCACCCATCGGGGCTTTGAACCACGATTCTCAGAGCCCAGCTTCCTAAGTAGTTAGAGTTACAGCCATGAGCCACCCATGTTCCTACTAGGAAAGTGTTTTTTTGACACTCAACTATGGCAGGATTTGGGAGGTGTAGACCTGCAGGACCTGCGCCCACTCTTCTTATTCAAGGACCCTAACACCCCAGCCCTGTGGCCAGCCTTGGGAGGGGAAGGGGTTCTTCCAGAGCCCTGGGCTGTGGCTACCTGGTGGTGATGGTGGAGGGGGGTGTGTGTGTGTGGAAAGCAACTTGTGGAGTCACGCTCCCCACCCCCAGCTCTCCAGGGAAAATCCCCAGGAAATCGCTAAAGCCAAAACCCAGAAAAACAGGAAGGGAAGAGTGGCCTGGGCCCTGCGGCCACCTGGCAGGCTCCAGGGGGCAGGAAGGGGTTGGGGGAGGACCCTGGTGCTGTCCCTCCCTGCTGGTTTCATCCAGCCTTTGACCCCTGGACCTTATCTCGACTTCTGGGGACAGGAACAGGCTGGGGTAAAGGTCAGAGTACTGAGAAGCAGCACCCCAGCTGGCAGGCTGCGCTTTCAGGAGGGCTGGGCTGCAGGGAGGCACCGTCCCCAACCGCCATAGAAGGCTGCCAGGCCCCTCAGGGCGGGGAGCCTGAGGATTCTGCCCTGTAGCCTTGGGCGGGGGCTCAAGGGGACCTGGGGTCAGGTGCCTCTCCCACTTCATACCACAAACTTGGAGCCTTCATGCTGGGACACCTGCAGTGCACATCCTGCCCTGGCCCAGAGGAGTGTGAGGGGACAAAAAGCAGGCCGGCTGTGGGCTGTGAAGTCTGCATAGCTTCATTACTCACTGCTCCAAAGCAGGGAGCCTGACTGAGGCTAGGCCTCAACCCAATCATCAGGCCATCCTTGAAGCCTGTGGCAAGGGGCAAACAACCTTTCTCCTGTGCCTGTCTGCCTCTGCGTGGTCCCCTGGCATGGATGTGATGGATCCTTTCACCATCTCCAATTAACCACCAGAAAACTAGAAGTCATGCTGTGGTACAAAGCGGTAGAGCACTAAACTTTACCTGAAAAAGCTCAGGGACAGCGTCCAGACTTTGAGTTCAAGCCCCATGACTGACCAAAAACAAAAAAGTGGGGGGGGAACTGGGGAGAAATTCTGACACATGCTACAGTATGGATGAGCTGAGAAGACATTATGCTGAATGAGAACAAGTCAGCTACAGAATGGCAAGTAGCATGATTGCACTTACAGGACCGCTGGGCACGCCAAAAGCCATCAGCCCAGAGACGGGAAACAGAATGGTGGGTACCAAGGGCTGGAGCATGAGATGTACTAGTGGTACAGGGGTCCAGCTCGGGAAGGTAGACTTGTAGAGGTTAAGAGGCAGGCATGGCCCCAAGAATCCATGCTTAGTGCCACTCAATGGTGTTAACAATGATTATGGTGTTAAGTCTCACATTTTTTCACAATAAAAGATGTATTAAAACAATACTCTCTGACCATCAACTACTGCACACAAGTGGCTCTAGATGCCACCCGCTCAAGCCATGCAGGCAGGAGCGTGAGTTCAAAACTAGCCAGGAGCCTATACTTCTACCTGCTCAGGAGGCTGAGATCCGAGGATCGTGGTTCAAAGCCAGCCCAGGCAGAAAAGTCTGTGAGGCTCTTATTTCCAATAAACCACCAGAAAACTGATAGTGGCATTGTGGCTTAAGTGGTAGAGTGCTAGCCTTGAGCTGAAGAGCTGGGGGACAGCGCCCAGGCCCAGAGTTCAAGCCCCACGACTGACCAAAACAAAAAACAACAACAAAACTAGCCTGGCTATATTTTATGACCCTCTCTCAAATAACCAAAGGTTGGGAAGAGAGCTTAGTGGTCAAGTGGTTTGACAACATGCACAGGACCTTAGGACTACCAAAAACGAAAAAGGTTAGGTGCTGGTAGCTCACACCTGTAATCCTACTACTCAGGAGGCTGAGACCTGAGGATCATGGTTTGAAGCCAGCCCAGGCAGGGAAGTCCATGAGACTCTTATTGCCAATAAGCCACTCAGAAAAAGCCAGAAGTGAAGCTGTGGCTTAAATGGTAGATTGAAAAAAAGAAGCTCAGAGACAAGAGTCCAGGCCCTGAGCTCAAGCCCCAGGAATAGCATTAAAAAAAAGTTTCCAGGCAGGAGAGCTGGTGCAGCAATTAAACCCTGCTGCACCCTGCTCCGAGGTCAGTGCCCTGCTCCGAGGCCAGCAGGGCCAGGCTATCAGATGTGGACTGCGGTCCCTGGCCCTAGCGAAGGGTCAGAGTCTGACACATAAAGGTGCACAGGAGCCACGTAGGGCTGCTAGCCGGTCTGTGGCCTGTGTTCATCAAGCTCTAGCTGGGAGGTTGCCAGATTCGTTACACCTGGCCCAACTGGATAGCAGATATGGCCCCAGCCTCCTTCCCAGCCCTCCCCAAGCTCAGCCAGCTGGAGCCTGTGGAGGCAGCCCGGTGTATGGACCGGTCACAGGGCCGGGGGAAAGAGGGGGTCAGGACTGAGTACTCGGAGCCAGGAGAGCAGGAGGGTCACACCACATCTTTACTGCCATAGCAGGAGGGTCACACATCTTCACCGGGGGTGAGGTCCTAACGACACAGAGCCAGGGCAAGTAAGAGCGCAGAAGAACCCAGGACCATCTCCTAAGTTTGTCTTCTGAATGTCCGCGCGCGCACAGGAGGCACTGGAGGTCAGGCGTGCAGGAAGCGGTTGAAGGCGTTGTAGGCGGACTCCAGGTCAAAGAGCATCTGGCGCACCTGAGAGTCTCCCAGTTCATCAGACGCAGACATGCCGCTCAGGGTCTGCAACCTGGGGGCACAGTTGTGTGTGGGTGTGGGGCCGCAGGGCAGCGATGCCAGCCTTGACTCTGCATGCCCAGGAAGGTCACTCACCACTGGCTGACGGTCTGGCGGCCCTCAAAATCTGGGGGCAAGTGGCTCATCCGGTGCATGGTCTCCATTAGCTCTCGCAGGTCCGGCTGAATCTGCAGCCATAGGCACAGGCTGACACGGCTCTGCCCTCTGCCTCCCGCCCGGCCCCTCCCCCTCCCAGTCCTGTACCTCATCCATGCCCCTCCTACCCCACCCCTCCCCCTCCCAATCCTGTACCTTGCCCATGCCCCCCCTCCCCTCCCAATCCTGTACCTCGCCCATGCCCCCCACCCCGCCCCTCCCCCTCCCAATCCTGTACCTCGCCCATGCCCCCCCACTCTACCCCTCCCCCCTCCCTGTCCTGTACCTCATCCATGCCCCCCCTACCCCTCCCAGTCCTGTACCTCATCCATGCCCCTCCTACCCCACCCCTCCCCTCCCAGTCCTGTACCTCGCCCATGCCCCCCCACCCCACCCCTCCCCTCCCAGTCCTGTACCTCGCCCATGCCCCCCCACCCCACCCCTCCCCTCCCAGTCCTGTACCTCGCCCATGCCCCCCCACCCCACCCCTCCCCTCCCAGTCCTGTACCTCGCCCATGCCCCCCCACCCCACCCCTCCCCTCCCAGTCCTGTACCTTGCCCATGCCCCCCCTCCCCCCTCCCAGTCCTGTACCTCGCCCATGCCCCCCCACCCCTCCCCTCCCCTCCCAGTCCTGTACCTCACCCATGCCCCCCCACTCTACCCCTCCCCCCTCCCTGTCCTGTACCTCATCCATGCCCCCCCATCCCTCCCAGTCCTATACCTCATCCATGCCCCTCCTACCCCACCCCTCCCCCTCCCAATCCTGTACCTCGCCCATGCCCCCCCACCCCGCCCCTCCCCTCCCAGTCCTGTACCTCACCCATGCCCCCCCACCCCACCCCTCCCCTCCCAGTCCTGTACCTCATCCATACCCCCCCACCCCACCCCTCCCCTCCCAGTCCTGTACCTCATCCATACCCCCCCACCCCGCCCCTCCCCTCCCAGTCCTGTACCTCATCCATGCCCCCCCCCAGCCCCTCCCCCAGTCCCGGTCCTGTACCTCATCCATGGCGCGGATCTCCAGACGCAGCTTATCCATGATTGTGATGAAGAGCTACGGGAGTGTGGACATGAAGGCTCTCCTACCACTTGGGTGGGGAAACCCCTGGAACTCTAGGCCCCTGCAGAGCTCGGTCCAGGGCTGAACCCATCACCACCACCCCCACCCCTGCTCCTTCCTCCCTCCACACCAGTTCCCAAGCCTGGACTCCTGGCTATGGCCTGCCTGGGGGGACTTGGGGCGGGGGGTGCTCGGAGGTCCTGCCCATGTCCCCTCTTGGTGTTTGCAGGAAGCCAGGCAGGCCTTGGAGAGCCCCCTGGATGCGGCTATGGGGGTCCCCACCCGGGTGCTCCTTGGCGCTCCTCCCCCCAGGCCCATATGCGGTCCTCCTGTGTGGGGTGTGCGCACCGAGACCACATCAGCGATGCAGCGGTTGAGATTGCCCTTGTCATCCTTGATGGTAATGGGCCGGTCCTCCTTGATCCGCTCCATGGCCAGCGGGCAGTCCAGCTGAGGGAAGCAGACAAGGGTACG